ATTCTTCTCCTCCTCCTCTTTCTTCTTCCTCTTTCCCTGCTCCCTTTCCCCACTCCTGCTTCCGTTTCTCCTCCTTTGCTGTCCCCATCTCTTCCTCCTCCTCCTGATGGCTCTTCCTCTCTTCTGCCAGTCCTGTGTGTTAAAGCACTCCACCATGTCCAGAAAGGGGATGGGAAGAGGAAGACAATTATTAGGACTGTTTCTATTTCTTCTAAATCATTAAAAATCACAAAATATCAGATGCTGTCAAGGTCTTCAGGTTTTCTATCATTAATTAGTATTAAAAATACTTACGTGCTGGCTGGGAGTGCCGGCCGGTGACCGCGAGGGAGGGCCTGGGCACAGACAACCGGCTGGTGGTGCAGCTGCCATGGGCGTGCAATGGGCGGCCTCTCAGGACAACTTTCTCGGCTGCAGCGCTGTGCTCGCGTAGAGCTCTCTGGCTGGCGGTGCGTCTCCTCGTCCCCTCGGGCACCATGAAAGACGATTTCGCAGAGGAGGAGAAGGTGCAGTCCTTCGATTACAAGTGGTTTGGTATTCAGGAAGGAACACAATGTACCAAACGTAAAAATAACTGGGCACTGAAGTTTTCTATCATATTATTATACATTTTGTGTGCCTTGCTAACAATCACAGTAGCCATTTTGGGATATAATGCTGTAGAGAAAATGGATAATGTCACAGGTGGCATGGAGACATCTCGCCAAACCTATGATGACAAGCTCACAGCAGTGGAAAGCGACCTGAAAAAATTAGGTGACCAAACTGGGAAGAAAGCTATTAGCACCAACTCAGAACTCTCTACCTTCAGATCAGACATTCTAGATATCCATCAGCAACTTCGTGAGATTACAGAAAAAAAACAGCAAGAACAAGAATACGCTGGAGAAGTTACAGGCAAGCAGGGATCCACTGGTGGACAGGGAGTCAACTAAAAGAAACTTGGGAGAATAACTTCCCTCATCACCACTGTAAACAAAACCCTCCAGGTGTACAATGGCTATGTCATGAATCTGCAGCAAGATACCAGTGTGCTCCAGGGTAATCTGCAGAACCAAATGTATTCTCATAACGTGGTCATCATGAACCTCAACAGCCTGAACCTGACCCAGGTACAGCAGAGGAACCTCATCACGAATCTGCAGTGGTCTGTGGATGACACAAGCCAGTCTATCCAGCAAATCAAGAATGACTTTCAAAATCTGCAGCAGGTTTTTCTTCAAGCCAAGAAGGACACAGATTGGCTGAAGGAGAAAGTGCAAAGCTTGCAGATGCTAGCTACCAATAATTCTGCTTTGGCCAAAGCTGACAAGGACACCCTGGAGGATATGAACAGCCAGCTCAACTCATTTACAGGTCAGATGGAGAACATCACTATCTCTCAGGCCAACGAGCAGAACCTGAAAGACCTGCAGAACTTACACAAGGATGCAGAGAATAGAACGGCCATCAGGTTCAACCAACTGGAGGAACACTTCCAACTCTTTGAGACGGAAATTGTAAATATCATTAGCAATATCAGTTACACAGCCCACCACCTGCGGATGCTGACTAGCAATCTGAATGAAGTCAGAACCACTTGCATGGATACCCTAACCAAACACAACAAGGATGATCTGACCTCCTTGAATAATACCCTGGCCAACATCTGTTTGGATTCTGTTTCTCTCAGGATGCAACAAGATTTGATGAGATTGAGGTTAGACACTGAAGTAAGCAACTTATCAGTGATTATGGAAGAAATGAAGCTAGTAGACTCCAAGCATGGTCAGCTCATCAAGAATTTTACAATACTGCAAGGTCCACCCAGCCCCAGTGTCCAAAAGGTGACAGAGGATCCCAGGGACTCCCTGGTCCAACTGGCAACAAGGGACAGAAAGGAGAGAAGGGGGAACCTGGACCGCCCGGCCCTGTGGGTGAGAGAGGCCCAATGGGACCAGTCGGTCCCCCTGGAGAGTGTGGCAGCAAAGGCTCTAAAGGCTCCCAGGGACCCAAAGACTCCCATGGTTCCCCCGGGAAGCCCGGCCCCCAGGGCCCCAGTGGGGACCCAGGCCCCCCAGGCCCACTGTGCAAAGAAGGACTCCCTGGCCCCCATAGCCCTCCTGGCTTCCAGGGACTACAGGGCACCATGGGGGAGCCTGGGGTGCCTGGACCTTGGGGACTGCCAGGTTTGCCTGGGGTACCAGGCATGCCAGGACCCAAGGGTCCCCCGACCCCCCAGCCCATCAGGAGCAGTGGTGCCCCTGGCCCTGCAGAATGAGCCCACCCCTGCACCAGAGGACAATGGCTGCCCGCCTCACTGGAAGAACTTCACAGACAAATGCTACTATTTTTCCATTGAGAAAGAAATTTTTGAGGATGCAAAGCTTTTCTGTGAAGACAAGTCTTCACATCTCGTTTTCATAAACACTAGAGAAGAACAGCAATGGATTAAAAAACAGATGGTAGGGAGACAGAGCCACTGGATTGGCCTCACAGACTCAGAGAATGAAAATGAATGGAAGTGGCTGGATGGGACATTTCCAGACTACAAAAGTTGGAAAGCTGGACAGCCGGATAACTGGGGTCATGGCCGCGGGTCAGGAGAAGACTGTGCTGGGTTGATTTATGCTGGGCAGTGGAACGATTTCCAGTGTGAAGACATCAATAACTTCATTTGTGAAAAAGACAGGGAGACAGTATTGTCATCTGTATTATAACAGACTGTGATGGAATCACATGAGCAAATTTTCAGCCAGCTCTCCAAGGACAGTCTTTTCTAATTGCATCACCTTTGCATCAGATTGAAAAAAAAGCACTGAAAACCAATTACTGAAAAAAATTGACAGCTAGTGTTTTTTACCATCTGTCATTACCCAAAGAGTTGGGAACTAAAATGTTCCCCCGGTGTGATATGCTGATTTTCAGTGTGCACATGGACTGAATCGCATAGATTTTCCTCCATCAGTAACTATGCAATTATACAAATTATATCTTCCAAAGTAGGGAGCATTCCAATCAGAAAAAGGCTATCATTGGTTGTTGAGCTATGGGAAGAGCTTAAGCATATACTGTGTAAATAGTACCATACATTTCTTAAATCCCAAGTGTAGGAAAAATACGCAAACATACAGATATATAGGCCAAATCCTAGTGATAATATGAAATATACTTAAAGAGCTTTTAAAACTTTGTATTTTTGTACAAAATATTTGCCTTTTACAATTTTTTCCTTTTTTTTTTGTCATTTTACCAACATAATAGATAGAGCCAAAGAAAACAATAACTATACTAATAAAAACTCATAGGGTTTCCTGTCAGATTTAATTCTACCCAGTGGCAAAGAATTTTTTCAATTGTGGTTTTAAAAAAAAAATTAAATATACATGTATATTAAAAAATACTTAAATGACAGGTTACTAGCATGGCTCAGCACTTTAAATTCCTACTAGAAACTGCACAAATCAGAAACTGTACAAATCGGAAACCACAAGCTAACCTCAATAGGGGCATTCCACACTAACCAATCAGAATTGTTTTCTTTGTCTTGCTTCTGCAAATATTCAGTCGAAGTTGCCCCTCTTGCCCCTCCTTATGGAGTGCTGACTGCTGTGGTCTGGTACTGCCCCACTCAAGAATCTTCAAATGGGCTGGGTGTGGTGGCTCATGTCTGTAATCTTTGGAAGGCCAAGATGGGTGGATCACCTGAGATCAGGAGTTCGAAACCAGCCTGTTCAACATGGTGAAACCCCATACCTACAAAAAATATAAAAATTAGATGGGTATGGTGGCAGGCACCTGTAATCCCAGCTACACAGAAGGCTGAGGCAGAAGAATTGCTTAAACCCAGGAGGCAGAGGTTGCAACAGTGAGCTGAACTTGAGCCATTGCACCTGGATGACAAGAAGGAAGCTCAGTCTCAAAATAAATAAATAAATAAATAAATAAATAAATAAATAAATAGAACCTCTGAATGTTCAAATAAACTCTATAAAATTTCAGTGTTTAAGTTTTTCTCTTACCTTTAGGAAATCGATATTTTATGTGGAAAGAACTAGTTGGTGATTGTTTCTAGGAGAACTTCATTTTGCAGAAGATCCTCTAAGACTTACATAAACACTTTAGGGGAGCTCCTGCGAGAGCTTGAGCCTCTCCTGATTCAGGTTCCCTCTGGTGTGTTTACTCAGTCTTCTGTTTGCCCAGTTTGATAAGAGCATTGTTGAAAATGGAAGAACATCTTCAGCCATGAGCTTACTTTCAACATTCAGCTTCCTTTAGAGTTTCAGAAAATTCATAATTATCTTATACTGAACAAGAACTTTCCTATAAGAAATAGAAAGCATGCCATTTAGAAAAGAGATAATAGACATTAACCCCAGAAATACTAAATGTTTTAGGAAGTCTCTAGACTCAGAAAAACCCAGGAGCCCTGTGGACTGAATGCTAATCATCTCCCCCACCTCTTCACCCTCTCCCCCTCCGGCACTGTAATGCACTCCCTGCTTTCAGGCTCAACCTTCTAAAGTTCTCTTTCCTGGCTGGATAAGTCTCCCATGAAGCCCCTTCCATCTCTCCACCACTCAGAGCTCTCCAGAACTCACACTATACCCCAGGATTTAGATCAAATGTCGTTACTTACCAGTTAAAGGCCCACATGCTTGACCTAAAATCCCTCTAGTTATTTAGTGTTAGAAACCTATCACTAGGACCATTATTTTGCTGTTAGATCTATTTTGGGGGGAAATGCCTAATGTCAGGATTTTTATGACTTATCTTTATTGAGCCGGTCTAATCCTCACAGATGAATATTTTTGAATTCTCTTTTTAGAGGAAGGAAGCCCTGTTGCCAGGATTCTAAGAGCTGGGCAGTGAGAAAAAGCTGGGAATCTTAGTTTTCAGTAAGTGCTTTGTTTTCAATATTGTCCCCTTTCCTCAATTGGTCCCAGTGATCTCCAGTGCAGAGGCTTTCTGTTTTATCCTCTACGGAAAATGGACATTGTGTTCTTTATACAGAAATCGACATGGGGGGTTGTGTTCAACCACTCCTAAAGCACTAAAACAGACATTCAATACATCCTCCTGTTTCCAGCCCCATTTAATCCTCCAAGTTACACAATTGCAGGTTGTAGCAGTCACACAGGAACCCTGGAGCAGCCTCCTCTGAAGCTGGTCATGCCTCAGCTGCTCTTTCCATATGGAACCATACATTGAGATTACATGAGTGGCTGTGATGTCTGTGTGACACAACATTTGATTCTCTTTGTCTCTATGGTTTATTGAGAAACATCTCTTCACATTGATATGTTTCTCTTCCCTTTCATCTCTCTTACTGTACTAACCATTACCAGATCTTTAACCATAAATTTAGAATTTTAAAAACAGGATTAACTGTCTGTCCCTAGAGGTAACATTTAAGAGAACTGTCCTATTGTCATTGGGAGCTCCCTTTAATACTCAGGAGATTTTGTAAAATCTCAATGCCAGCAATACTGCTGGAAGTATAAGCTGGAACAACTTTCTAGGGAAGCGTTTTGGCAATAAAACACGAATCTTTAACTGTTACATTCATCTTCCTAGTAATTCCATTTTTCATGTTGAAGAAATCTTTCTGAGCAAGGCATGGTGGCTAACACCTGTAATCCCAGAACTTTGGGAGGCCAAGGCGGGTGGATCACCTGAGGTCAGGAGTTTTTTTTTTTTTTTTTTTTTTTTTTATGACATCTTCTGCTTTATTTTTCTAGGAAAAACAGTGCTTTTACTGAACGTGCACAGGCGTGAGGATGGGAAGGCAGCAGGAGGAGTCAGGGCGGCGGGGCCCCGGCCTGGAGCGGGGAGGCTGACCGCAGCCGCAGCCGGGCATCACTGGCACGGGTTCCTGGTGACCCCTCGCTAGGCCGCAGCATTGCCCAGGATGAAGCCCACGGCCCCCGCACTGCCCAGAACGAAGCCCACGGCTAGGGACATGTCTTGCAGAAGGCGCCGCGCAGCTGCTCCACGTGCTGGTTCAGGGTCCGCAGCTGGTCGCGCAACGGGCCCAGGATGCTCATGAGGCGGTGCAGGTGCCCCAGGGTCAGCAGCAGGGAGGCCTTCAACGGCGGGGGTGCGCGGTCCTAGGGGCTTCGGGGAGCGCGGGAGGCGTCCGCAGACCTCTGAGGGGATCAGTTAAAGCGGGGCATCCAGGCGGGGTCAGCGTGGGGGCTGCGGGCGGTAGGCAGCGGGGCGGCTGAACATCCCGAAGTCAGGATTTTGTCGTGTGTGTGGGGGTTGGGGGCGGGGGGAGGCTGCTGGGAGTTTATTTTCCGCTTGGTGTCAGGTGCGTAGTTCCAGGTGTCAGGAAAGCTGCTCAGGGCTGGGGCGGACCGGGCGGTGGAGAGCCGGGCCCTCACTCCTTTTTGGTGTCTGCTGTGTGGATGTGGAGGTCTGCTGGCTGCAGCCGCCTAGTCTACGGCGGGGTTGTAGGGGTTGTGGGGGCGGGAGGGGCTCTGGTGGCCTAGCGCCTCCGCAGGCTTGGAGCTGGTGGTCATCGCTCAGGTCAGGACTGCGGCCCAGCGCTGGCTGTGCTGGTCTGACCACCGGGCTGCTTCCTCAGGGCGTCCTGAGCCAGGCCACAGGTGGTCATGCTGCGGGAGGCCTGGTGGGGGGATTCCGGGTGCTCTGCAGACTCCAACACTGTGGCCATGAATGGGAGGGTGGACTTCCTGAAAAAGAAGCTGGCCCACCAGTGACCCGGGTCAGCCTTGGGGATACCTGGGGGGTGGGGAATGGCTTCCGCGGGGCACTCGGTACTACTGCAGGAGCTGTTGCTGGAAGTGGAACCCAGGCGGCCCTGAGAGGAGAGGTCCCGTCAGCAGCACGGGGCGCGGGGACTCCCAGCCCACCGGCCCTTAGGGGTCCTGCAGGTGGTACGTCGGGCGCGGAGCGGGCAGGGCGTCTGCGTGGTGGGGGGCAGGGGCTACTCACGCGGGTAGTAGTCGTTGGTGGCCACAAGCGAGCCGCTGGAGGGAATGGCCGCTATGCTCTGGCTTGCGGGCTGGTGGGACCTGGGCGGCGACCCCTCCCGGCTCGGCGCACGATCACGGGTGGCGGGGACCGGGGCTCTAGGCCACTGAGCCCATTTGCAGAGGAGACCGCAGGAGGCCGCTCCACGACCGAGACGGGGGTGAAAACAGCTTTTTTTTTTTTAAATTTCTCAGCATGTGCTTTTATTGACCTGGCTGTTAGGTTTGCGGGGATGACTCTTGAACTTCTTTTTCAAGGAGCCCAACTGCTTCTTCCTGCGCTTCCAGACCAGCCCCCAGTCCATGTCCGTCTCCCTCCTGCCTTCATCAGTGGACTCTCTGGGGGCTTTGCCTCCTCGTCCTCTTCGTTTGTCAAAAAGTCTTCAGTGCCATCCATGTCCTCTGTGTTTCAAAGGTCCTTTCTGGTAAATAGCTCGGGTGGGTACAGGTCTGTCATGCTCTCGTCACTTGGAGCTCCCCCCTCATCACTGGACATGGGCTCCCAGAAGGCTTCCCACAAGCGAGGCCCATCACCGTCCATCCGGTCCTCCCTCTTTCTCCTCCGGTGCACCAGGCACTCAGGGACGTACTCCAGCCCTTGCTTCTGACATTCTGCATATTTACACAGAGCTCGCTGGTACCGCCGGCCCTGGATGTGCCTCAGCACGTGTTCTGGGCGCTTGTTGATGTGCCGCAGGGTGAGTTTGCAGAACAACTGGCGCGGGTTCTTGGTGCTGGGCACGATGTGCGGTTCAAACTCTGCATAGTCGAAAGCCTGGGAGGCGCGGACCAGCCGCTGGTACTTCTTGCCGCGGGTGTAGACCTGGAGCTCCGGCAGGCGGCAGGGCAGCTCCTGACCCGTCAAGATGCACCTCGCCTTGCAGGCGTCCGGCTGCAGCCTCAGGCTCGGTGCTCGCGCAGGAAGCGGGCAGCTCGCTCATGGCCTGGCAGCCCGCGGAGCAACCCTACGGACGCCGCTCGCACCACGTGGAGCGCGTGCGGGCGGTCCGGGCGGCGCGCGCCTACCCAGGGATGCGGCTCTGGCCCCTGAGGCCGTCGTCCGCCAGCCCTGACCCCGAACCGCCGTCTGGAGACGCCCCGGTGACCCTGTCCCGGAGGCCTGTATCGCCAAGCGCGCTGGCGGGGCCCCTGTAGCTGGTGTCCCCGGGCTCGGCGCCGCGCGCGTCTTGGAGCGCGCGGGAGACCGAGCTGCTGCTGGGCGCGCTGCTCCGCCAGGCTCTGGCCCCCTCCCGCCGCGTGTTGGGCGCGCTGGCCCGGCAGCAGGTGCACCGCCCCCGGCAGGGCCGCAGCCGCCACCACCGGTTACTCCGCGTCAGCTTCCCCCAGGTGCAAGGCCAGGCGCCCGGGCTCTTCGACGAGCACACCCCGGAGCTCACCGGGCTGCCGATCGATCACGGGCGTAAACTGCCCCGCCGCCGCTACCGGGGGTCTGGGCGCCGCCAGCAAGGCCAAGGTCCACCCCCAACGCACTCGAGCCGGCTCGCGGCCAAGCAGGCGCCGCCCCGCTGCCGACCGCCCGCAGCCCCCACGCTGACCCCGCCTGGACGCCCCGCTTCAACCGGTCCCCTCAGAGGTCTGCGGACGCCTCCCGTGCTCCAGGAAGCCCAGAGGACCGCGCACCCCGGCCGCTGAACGCCGCCCTGCTGCTGACCCTGGGGCACCTGCACAGCCTCATGAGCATCCTGGGCCCGTTGCGCGACCAGCTGCGGACCCTGAACCAGCACGTGGAGCAGCTGCGCGGCGCCTTCTGCAAGACAGTGTCCCTAGCCGTGGGCTTCGTTCTGGGCAGTGCGGGGGCCGTGGGCTACATCCTGGGCAATGCTGCGGCCTAGCGAGGGGTCACCAGGAACCCGTGCCAGTGACGCCTGGCTGTGGCTGTGGTCAGCCTCCCCGCTCCAGGCCGGGGCTCCTCCGCCCTGACTCCCCCTGCTGCCTTCCCATCCCCACGCCTGTGCACGTTCAGTAAAAGCATTGTTTTCCTAGAAAAATAAAGCAGAAGATGTCATAATAAATAAATAAATAAATAATCCACCAATTGTTGCCTGAAAGTTAGTGATTTAACCATCAATAACTTTAACAGCAATAACAATAAAAATAACTTAGTTACTAACTTTAAATAACTAGTTATTCAACAATAACAATAACAGCATATATGTACATCAGTTATGCATTTAAAAGATGGACATTTTGTGACTATCTGAATGGATAATATTAGATAAAATAGAAACACATGAGGCAGAGTTAGTAACATAACCCCCTAGAGCTTTAATAAATGAGCTGTCAGTTAAGCTACGTACACAACGTTTTCACTGTGATATGAGCCAGGGTTCTGAAGGCTTGCAGAGGAGATAAACTGCAATTATAAAGTGCAATTAACAGGTAGTAGCAGTCTAGTTTATTATACACACACACGTTTCCAAGCCAGATGATCATTAAGTATTCACAGCAAGTAATCACCCAGTGAACAAAACAGGTTGCTTTACCTTCTGAAAAAGTAGTTTCCACTGCTTTAAAAAGCTTGCTGGTGATAAGATGAAAACTGGAATAGGTTACAATTCTACTACATACACAGTACAGGTAACACAAAGAGTCTTTTATTCTTTTTTTTTTTTTTTTTTTTTTTTTGCCGGAGTTTTGCTCTTGTTACCCAGGCTGGAGTGCAATGGCACGATCTCGGCTCACCGCAACCTCCGCCTCCTGGGTTCAGGCAATTCCCTCGCCTCGGCTTCCCAAGTAGCTGGGATTACAGGCACGCGCCACCATGCCCAGCTAATTTTTTGTATTTTTGGTAGAGACGGGTTTCACCATGTTGACCAGGATGGTCTCGATCTCTTGACCTCGTGATCCACCCGCCTTGGCCTCCCAAAGTGCTGGGGTTACAGGCTTGAGCCACCGAGCCCGGCCGAGTCTTTTATTCTTTAACATTCTTAAGCATCACCCAAAATGCCAAAAAGGAATATGGCAAGTTTTAAGGTTTTACAGAAAGTTCTACACTGAGCTTTTAAAGTGAAGGACTTAGTCACCCAAATACGATCCTGAGTTCCCAGTATTTAATTAATATACCAATCAGATCATTCTCCAGAGTTCTTTTGATATTCCCAGATCTATCTCAACTTACCTAATCAGCTCTCTCAATCCCATATAGCCTTCAAGCTAATCTCAATCACTCTTCTTCCATTCATTTTTCATTCACTTATTTTACAAATATGTAGTTAGCATAATTGTCTGACAGTACTGTTTTAGGGACTGGGAGAATATGACAGTACTTAGGAAAGGCCCTCATTCTTGTATCTCTATAAAGGTAGATAAAAACTTTTAAAAAGGTAGATATTTAAAAATACTTTAAGGGAGGCTAGGTGTGGTGGCTCTTGCCTGTAATCCCAATACTTTGGGAGACTGAGGTGGGCAGATTGGTTGAGGTCAGGAGTTCCAGACCAGGCTGAACAAAATGATAAAACCCCGTCTCTACCAGAAATAACCCCCACCCCCACAAAAAAATTACCTGGGCATGACAGCACGTAGCTGTAATCACAGCTACTTGGGAGGCTGAAGCAGGGGAATCGCTTGGACCTGGGAGGCAGAGGTTGCAGTGAATGGAGATTGAGCCACTGCATTCTAGCCTGGGCGCAGAGTGAGACTCCGTCTCAAAAACAAAAACAAAAAAACATTTAAGAGACACAAAATGCTATAATAGCAGAGAATGATAATTGACACAAAGAAAATAAATATGGTTATGGAAAATAAATGAACTGGTTAATCTGAGTCCCATCTGTGTCCACTGTTACCATTTCAAAGTGGGTGCCACTCACCCAGGCTCCAGTGATTCCCTAATTGGTTTCCTTCTGTTAACTGGATGGGCTTCATTATTTTTTTCTGCAATGCAGTCACTCTATCAGGTTGGGTCCTCTAGAAGCAGAGCCTGCAACGGCAATGATTGAGTACCTTTTCTTGAGAGATTAACCTTATGAGAGGGGAATAGTAAGCTGGGTGAGACAACGTAAGCCAGGATGATCTCAACACAAGTCTGGCTTAGACTGACACCCAAAGTTTTTGAGCATGGATTGCATCACAGAGTTGGCCTGACCCGAGGCAAGAGGAATAGTCATTTACACCATGTGTCAGTCAGTCGCCAGCTACAGGCTGTCCAGGTGAGGCAGCTCCCTTCAGTCTGGAGAAGGCCTCAGGAGAACAGGACAATTGAGAGCCCTTGACTACCAACACTAATAGTCTTGGGGAAATGCAGAGGTCTAGTAAAGTGGGACTGAATGGAGCAGCACCCTTTAATTTAAAATAAGAGGCAAATGGATATTGATTAGAAACACAGCAGCATCTCTCACAGTTAGAAAAAGCATGACTATGTGGTGTTTCTGTAAGAACATGAGAGAATGTCAGTGAAGCACATCATAACAGTGATTGGAGCATGAGTTCTCAGTCAATGGTAGTTGTTGTGATTGTGACAGAGACCGAGATGTGTATAACTTTAATGGCTGGCAGTAGAATTCCTATCAGAAGAGAATTCCTAATGTAGAAGCACTAGCTTGATGAGCTGCTTAGGATAAAATGGAAACTTCAAAGTTATGCCCATTGGCAAGAGTTAAAGCAACAAAGGGGGCACCAAAACTATCTTGTGTGAGACAGGAGACGAATGTAGTTTTTGCTCCTGAGAAGACAGAAGATAGAAGAGAAGGGAGGAGAAGGTGGGAGATGAGGGAAAGAGAACGAGGGTCATACTAGGAAATGCTCAGAGGTAAATTAGCTGGCAAAACAGTGGGGAATTAACTTTTAAAGAATATAAGGCTATGTTTACAGTAATTTTGGCTACGTCTCCATGTCTTCTGTAAGGCTATTAAACATAAACGAATGTGTTATATGTATATGTGGATTATTATTTATGAGTTAGGATGTTTGAATCACAGAGAAAAAATAATCTATGAAGTGAAGAAGTTGGAATTTTCAGCCAGAGGTGACTATACTGTCTGGAATATCCTGAGAGCCAGAACCAATAGGAGAGGCAGAGGGAGAGAGAGAAAGAGAAAGACTTACTATAGGGCATTCACTTAGGTAATTCTGGAGGCTTAGAAGTCAAGTTCTGCAGTTGGAGAGCCCATGGGATAGTTCCAGTATGAGTCTGAAGGCCTTCGAACTAGGAGAGTCAATGGTGTAAGTTCCAGTCTGAAAACTGGCAGGCTCAAAATCCAAGAAGAGCTAATGATTGAGCTTAGTCTGAAGACAAGAAAGAAGTTATGACCCAGTTCAAACAGCCAGGCAGGAGTTTTCTATCACTTACTGGAAGGTCAGAGTAATTTTTGTTCTATTTAGGTCTTCAACTGATTGAGTGAGGACTACTCACATTAGGAAGAGAAGCCTGCTTTACTCAGTCTACTGATTCAGATGTTAATTTCACCCAAAATCACCATCACAGATGTAGCTGGGATAGTATTTTGTTAAATATCTGGGCACCTCATAGCATAGTCAAATTTCAACATGAAACTATTCATCACAAGTCTACCTCTTGTCAATTTGGCACCATATGTATCTCCTTAAACTGTACTTAATCTCCAAACAAAGAAAATAAATAGCAAGGTCATGCTTCTGTCTAATATATAATGATCCCATGTACAACTGAAGACATACCTACCCCTTCCCCAGAAAAGGAGGTATAATCCTTGAATGATGTTTACTTTTCTCCTTGATATCCTGTAACTTAAATAGTATAACATAAAATCAACAACACTTAAATCAAATGATATAGTCAATACATCCTATGTTATACAGGAATAAGACAGCAGAAAAACAATAATAATTGGTTAATGAACCCACATACATTTGTATGTATTCATAACAAAAAAAGGGGAAATGCTGATAACAATTTCAATCTTGATTTCTGTAACTAGTCATGTGGTCACAGCTGGTATTCATGGCTACCTTCTTTGACTAACCACACCTCAGCTGGTCGCGATTATTTATTTGCTGGGATGACCCAAGGCTTCATTCCCAAAGGGTCTAGGCTGTTAGTTTCCTTGCCTGGATTAGGTGATTGTCATTTTCCATTGACCGCAATTACAAAATATGATAATACCAAGGACCCCTAAAGGGTATATGTATTGCAGACACACCCTTCCTTATCTCCATTTTGAAGTATGAGTCCAATTTCCCCTTTCTAGTTAAGATCAATAACCATGACTAGCCCAGTAACTCTCTTCCTTGCCTGTTGATTTAGAAGAATGAGGAATTCAAAGTCACTGGGTAACAGTTTTAATTTCCAGTTCTATAAAGGCAATGTTGTGTCTCTTGATGGAAGCAATCCTTCATCTGAAACAGACTTCTAGGCCAGCCGATCGTAAAGTTGTAGGATCAGGAGGCCATTTTGCTAGTTGTTCACTAGGAATAATAGTGAGTGAGACCACTCCCACTTTCTCCCGTTAATTACTGGACCTGTGAATTCTGGCTTTTGGAGAAACAGCATCGTATTTTGGAGGCCAAATTAAAGCATACAGACTCCTGAGGAATCTTTCTCCAGCTCAGTACTGCCACCTGGTGGACACTGTAACAGTCTGCAAAAAGCCATTCCACCATTCTACAAAACCAGCCGTTTCAGGTGGGTAGGAAACATAGTAAAGCTAGTGAACTTGAACTCAATTAACATGGACTCATTGCTGCACTTCTTTTGCTATTAACTGAATTCCCTGATCAGAAGCACTGCTGTTTGGAGAACAATGACTGTCGTTAAAGCATTCTGTAAGTCCATGGATGGTAGCTTTGGTAGAAACACTGCAGGCAGGGAAGGCAATTCTAAATCCAGAGTGTCTATTCCAGTAAAAACAAAACATGGCCCTTTCCATGACAAAAGTGACCCAAGGTAATCAATCTGTCACCAGGTAGCTGGCTGATCACCCCAGGTGCATATCAAGGCTTCAGCATTGGTCTTTGTTGCCGGCATACTGGGCCCTCATGGTCGCCATGGCCAGGTTGGCCTTAGTGAGTGGGAGTCCATGTAGGCTAATCCTCCATCCCTGCCATTATGGATA